GTGACCGTCTATAAACTCACTAGGGGGGACCAGAAGGGTTTGGGGGAGACGCTGTTTCCCCTAGCGCCTGCTGGCATGACAAGGAACAATGGACACAAATTATTGGAGAGTAGATTTAGATTAGACATCCACAAGAACTACTTCATGGTCAGGGCAGCTAGGAGCTGGAACCAACTTCCAAGGGAAGTGGTGCTGGCTCCTACCCTGGGGGTCTTTAAGAAGAGGCTTGATGCCTACCTGGCTGGAGTCATTTGAGTCCAGTTTTTCTCCTGCCCAGGTGGGGCGTCGGACTTGAAGATCTACAAGGTCCCTTCCAACCCGACTGCTATGATTCTATGACTTTTAAACTGTTCCAAACCACTTCAGCACAAGGTGAATATTGACAAAATGATATGCTACTGGATGAGTGCAGTGTGGTCAGGGGTATATTACTACAAAGGAAATAGGACAGTCTCTTCATTAGTTTTGTGTCTTACATAATAGAACAGCGGTTCTGACTGGGGCAGCACACTACTGCATTATTATTGGTTGTTAACCATTACTATTATTCATCCTTATTAATGAGTTATATTTAATTCAGTCACAAGAGCACACAACATTAAACATTTTCTCCATAACTTCAGAATTCTACATATTAGTTCTTTTAAAAACAGAGAATTTAACAAAGGGGCTTTTCTACTGTAATGAAAACCAGGATCTAATTGCAAAAACTAGCAGGAGTTGTTCATTCGCCTGGATTCAGGTTTAAAGAAATACAGTCCTTCAGTGCCCACAGGGCAAAGCTCATTCTCTAATGTGGTGTCTGGCAATGCTCATTTGCAGATCTGCCCCGTGCTGCCAGCTCATTCTGGGACAGGACACTTCCCTGCAGGACTGTGTGATCTGGTTTGTTCTGTTCTGTTCTCAAAATACTCACAATCCATCCTCCACCATCGGTGTCCATGTCACACAGCACAGTCATTGCATTATAGTCATGTGGGTAGATGGTGTACCAGCCACTCAGGATGTTCCCTCTGAATAACAGTTCCTTGCAGTTCCTTGCTCCTGGGGGAAGTGGGGATTTTAAATTGTAAATTCATTTTGGTGGATTCTCCTTGAGAAAAAACATTTTTCTTCTGAGAAGTTTTGTAGACTGCCAACTTTGGGACATTTGTGCCACAAGAGCCTTTTCTTTTGCAAATTGCAGAAATTTTGATTTCAGTAGGACCTGGATTTTATCATAGGGGACTCTTTTTTTTTTTTTTTTTAGATATAGCTATACATGCACAAGAACATGTAAATGGGGTATAGCATAAACTGCCTTACTTCTCTTTGCACATACTAGTTAAACTGTTGTCACAATGGAAGCATGTATGTTAAATTTCTACCAACTCCAATCCAATTTAAAACAAATATGGCTTATTTTGTCAGCTAAACATATGAATTAACAAGAAGTAAATTCTATGAGGTACTCTGCACTTTCAAGCTGAAATTTGATGAGCAGAAAGGAGCTGAAACGATCAAGTAATATTCCTGAATTCTGGCTGTGAGATTTGTGCTGACAAAATATTGCAGCAGCAGTATAGTCCTAGGAAACACTCACCTTGTCTACAGAAAAGGTCTTCCAGGTCTGTTATTCCTGTCCATAAAAATATAATATACACAGCTTAAGAAACTGGAAACCAGAAAACCTGCTAATGGCTTTATTGTGGATACAGTGCAATAAAATAGTGCAGATCATTAATCCAAACCATTGCTACCATTATGCAGTTGTTATAAAAAAGAATCATTTTTTTCACACCATGCACGAGTACCTTTTGGAGGCAAATGATCCATATATAAATTCATATACATTAAGATTAGATGTTACCTATTAGATTTTTTTGCCTGACTGCCAGATAAATACCTGTATAGAAAGGGTGACATTGTATTTCATCAGAGAATGCCCCTCGGGCTATCATAAGTACTTACGTGGTGATATCACCATAGTCTCAAAGTCTCTAAGTAGTCCTTTTGAGGTAGGGAAGTACTGATGTTTCTATTTTACACATTGAAAATTGACACAGAGAAGCAAACATTTCTTAGGCTTACACAGGAAGTCTGGTATGGTGCAAGGAACTGAATCTACATCTCCCATGTCCCATATTAACGCTCCAACATGGGGCTGCAAATTTTAACTTGTGGGATTTCCTCTTGGATGCTGAAGTGGTGCAGAGGCATGCATTTTGAATAGGTCTTGCTTATTGCTACAACTACCCAAGCATTTTTTTTATCACTCAAAGTAAGAAAATGGTTCCTGATCATGGGGGGTAATCTGGAGACCATGCTCTGATCCAGGCGTACAATTCAGCACCTGCAGCTAATGCCATCCTGACCTTTCCCTCTTGATTAAAAGCATATTAAGAATATGCATGGAGACTGTCTAGTAGAGCTGTGTGAAGCTTTGGGTGCTGATTCAATTCAGAGAAGATTCGGCCTGATTCGGTGGCCAAATCTCCAAATCCTAATCAAATCAGGGGACTGGTAAAAAGGTCTGAATCAACTCAAAGCTCTCTGAATCTTTTCCAAAGATTCAGAGATAATTCGGGCAGTCCCCGCCTGCTGCGGCAGGGAGCTGGAGCCGGAATCGGAGCTAGTAAGTCGAGGGTAGGGGAGAGGGGGCTGGAGAAGTGGGGAGGGGACCATGGGGGAACCCCTGCCAAGCCCCATCCCCTGCCTGCTTCCCCAGCCCCCCTCACCTCTGCCTGCTCCCCCAGC